AACAACACTTTCAAATGCAAATCAAAGTACACGGGTTGCAGACCTCTTCTGTGAATTCCGTCAGATCCTGCTCATTACATGCATCCTCATATTGCCACTTCTGGCTTTACACTGCAAATTTTATTCTTTAAACAGTTCCTATTGCGATGAGAACTACTCCTTTTAGCAAACATCAGAATTCCAGAGCATGGGTATGTTACCATCTCCAATGCTAAACCATAGAGTTAACACAGAATCCTAGAACAGTTTGGGTTGGATGGGAGCTAAAATCATCTCATTCCAACTCCCTGCAATGGGCAGGGACACCCTCCACTATCCCAGGTTGCTCCAAGCCCCAGCCAACCCAGCCTTGAACACTTCCAGGGATGGGGCAGTCACAGTTTCTCTGGACAACCTGTGCCAGGACCTCACCACCCTCACAGGGAACAATTTCTTCCTAAAAAAACATCTCTGATCCAAATACATGAGCATCACTTACCTGGGGAATAGATTCCTGGAAGACAGGTTCCCCGCTGGCTATGCACACACCAGAGCAGATGCTTGGATGCTGGCTCTGGACCTCCCCAATTCCTGAAAAACCATCTCCTGGTGGCGTGGTGGAAGACCACACACTAAGGAAATAGACCTTTGAGTGATGGTCAGGCCAATGGTTGTTACGTTCTTCAACATGAAGTTCACTTCCCTTTTGCACTTCTACAAGACAGGTATAATTATATTCCTATTTTGTAGATTAATACCCTTTTCAACACACATGAGGGGTTTGTTCACAAACCATGTGACTAGATAGCAATGCTGTATCCAAACCTGGTGGTCTCCACATCCAGGTGGTCCTCACCACCACAGAAGGAGCTCCATCACTGACACAAGTGTATTGGCAGAGCACAAAAAAGAAATCATGCTTTGAGGCAAACTGTTACACAGATATATTTATTGCATTGCAGTCGTAGCAATTTTAAATATAAACATTTACATCTGGAAAGCAGGATATTGCAAATTCAGTATTATTCAGTATGTTCATAGCAGCATCAGCTTCCTAAGAAACAAAATATTTAGGAAGAGAGAGAAGGAATTACAAACAAGTTACACTCTCATTTATCACCATCTGACCCAAACATGGAACTGCAGCTGTGAAACAAGATATTGAAGTCCTTGAAGACGTCAGTAATTTCAAGACTGAAGTGCATTGTTGTACCTGATACCCCGCACAGGTTTCATGTGCCAAGGTGTGAGTCTAACAGTCACGTGCCTGGAGAGGGCAGATGGTGGATGTACCTGCATTACCTGACAGGGATAGTTTTAATAACAATACTTTGCACTTACCACCTCCCCAGATCCTTGCAAGACAGGCAAGGATTGCTCTTAGAAGTGTTGCAGCTGTGGAGAGTCAGGGAGAGGGAACAAAGTGACTTGTGAAGGCCACAGTGAGGAGCAGAGAGATAAGAATTTGCCAGCCTCTGACTCCCAGTCCCACGTCAGTCTGGCAGGTCATTCTGCTCCTCTGTGGTTCCTTAAGGAAGCTCTATAGGTGACTGATTGGTCAACAAGTCCCAATCTGCCCAACTACAGTGGATGTGTGCACTATCTGAAAAGAGGTCAATGCATCTGCTCCCCTCCTAATGCCCATTTTAGTTTCAGGCAAACCAAACACTTCTCTCATTTCCTCCTCTCAGAGTGATGTGTCTCACTGAACACACAGGGCACAGCTGCACTCTGCTCTGAAGTAGTGAAAATCAGAAGCAATCGCTATAGGAGCAGCTTTCATTTCTTTCCTGAGGGAGAGCACTGATCTTTTGAGAGGAAAACAGGATGGATATGTTTTCACACAAAGTGATCAAACTGTTTTTCATTCTAAACGAATACAAGGCTGACTGAAAGTCTCAGGTGCACTAATTTTTTTCAACAAAGTTATCCAAGTGTACACTACGAAGCTAGAAGCTAACAAGATAGTTATCCAGGAACATCAGAAGGCATTTTCCTTCCCTGACAGGCCTTCCCTGCCAACAGCTAAGAGCAAGAGCACTAAGTGACATCTAAAAGGACTTGTAAACATCACCAGACAAACATCTCTGCTATTTCTCCACTAAAGTAGTCCTTTCTCCTGCACCCCTGGGAAGCCAACAAGGACAACCAAGTCTCCTCCATCCCTGCCTCAACAGGGCAAATTTGCTTACTTGTTTTTTATCCCACTGGGTTTCCCCTGCAAAATTTTAAAGGTGGGATCAAACATGTCAGTTTTTAGTAAAGGAGCCTGGTAGATATTCCAGGGGCAGTTCCTGTGCTGTGAAAGGCTCACAGCACAAAGGAAGCTGCACTCAAGGGCTGTCTCTGCATCTCCCCCTTCCCCTACAGAGCACAACTGCCCAGTGCTGGCCTGATTGTGCCCAAGTCCACAGGCTAGAAAGCCACTTTCCATGTCAAGGAGTTATCACCAAGTAATTCCTCTTCACTCCTCTTTCTTTGCCTGCTTTCCCACTTTCAGCATGCCATGAAAGGCTACAGTTGGGATAATGTACAGAGAGGTATGTGTTATACTTACAGGAAATTACACACCTTTTTTTTTTTCCATCAAGAAAAGTCTCCATCAAGTGCATCAATCCTGCAGTGCCTACCAAGATGAGGACCATCAGACTGCCTTGCCTACCCTTTCCCAAAGGGCTTAGTTTTTTTCTGCTACTAATAAGTAAAAAAGATAGCAGCAAAGGATAACAGTTTTCTCCACATTTCACAGAATCACAGAATAGTTTGTGTTGGAAGGGACCTAAAAGAACATCTCATTCCATCTTGCCATGGGCAGGGACACCTTCCACTAGACCAGGTTTCTCCAAGCCCCATCCAATCTGGCCTTGAACACTTCCAGGGGTGGGGCATCCAGAGCTGCTCTGGGCAACTTGTGCCAGTGTCTCACTGCCCTCACAGTCAAGAATTTCTTCCCAATATGTAATCTAACCCTACTCTCTGTCAATTTGAAGCCATTCCCCCTTGTCCTGTCACTACATACTCTTGTAAATAGTCTCTCTCCATCCTTCTTGTCGGCACCCTTCAGGTGCTGGAAGGCTGCAATTAGGTCATCCCTAATTGTCTCAGCTGAGAGAATCTCAATTCCCTCAGCCTTTCCTGGTTTGCAATATCTTAATTACAATAAGAATTCCACAAATTCTGTAATACTCTAGTTTTCCAATACTATTTCTAGTAAGTAATAGCTTTTCATAATGTTATAACAAAGGCTGTCTTAGGATTGCTATAGTACACACCTCAAATTTTTAAGCCAATGTCAAGAAGCAAAAGCATGAACTGGAATAGTTCTGGGCTGCAGATGATGCAGACCTCAGCATTTATGTTTTACACTTGGCTGTGCAGGCAGGAGACAAAAATCTTCATAGTAATTGGCAGTATTTTGCAGTTATGCTCTGAGGCAGACACTGGCATATGTCTCAGCAGCTTCTCAGGGAAGAGCTTGCCTGGCTGAGGGAATCACTGCATCACCCCTGAAAAGGTGCAATACTGTGCCTTCCAGTTTTATCCAGTGGCAGAGCTTGTAGTGTAATTTGGTAGTTATAACTCTGATTTGTTTGATCAGAGATGGGAAGTTCACCTGGAGATAAGCATCCTCAAAAACTCGGTTTGCTGTCCCTGCTGCTTCTCCATTTTCCTTCAAGACCCTGGATGAAGTCATTTTCCCCACCTGTGTCATTTAGGTCAGTGGCAGTAAGAAACAGAAAGGGAGACTGTAGGCAGCATGTTGGACAGAATGCCAAATTCAATAAAATTATACACCTTTTTTTCTCTGCCTCTCTTTTCCTGGACACCTCTTCACCCACAGTGACTCACAGGTGCAAGTGGGTGGCTGCAACAGCAAACAAGGAAAACCTAGCACTGTGGGAAAGAAAATAAGTAACAAAATTATTTTTCAAAAATTTTTCAGTTTACTTCCAAAAGTAATATCATCCAAGACAAATAATTCTTCTGACCAAATAATTCCAGAAGTGTGAAGAGAACACTATGAAAATCAAGAACAGGCAAAGGCTATCTGGATTCAAAACTAGGTGGGCTAACATTCCTTACAGAGGGGGAAAAATCAGCAGGCAGTCAAGTTCATTCCTGGTGAGATCTTGCCCTGCTGAGGGAAAGCTGCAAAAGAAACTGAAGGATCCAAAAACTGAAGGACAAGAAGCAGATGGAAAACAGCACTCACTGATTAATTCATTAATCACCTGGGGAGGACGTGCTAAGTACCTCTCTAGATCAGGAAAAAAACTTCCAGGCAATTAACAAGCTGGACTAGTCAGCTGAGAGAAGGAACTAAACCCACCCTTTTTTACAAGCTCCTTTTTTCCCCTCGGCCTTACCTCTTCTACTACCACAGCCCTGTTTAAGAAGTGTTAGGTAAAAACTGGGCAAAAACACTTCACTGTACAAATAAAACTGTCACTCTTAAAATTGAGACTTGGCTCCCTCCTGGACTGTGTTGGGAATGGAAAGATACACGATGACACCATGAGATATCTCTGACATCACGATCCAAGACTGTGGCATTACATCATTTCTGCACCTGGCATCGACACATTTCACAAGTTTTGTATTTGTCTGCTGTTTTAGAAATTATCCTAAAAATTTCTCAAATTATCCCAACACTCCTTCAAAGTTAGTTCAGAAAACTGCTCCCTATAATTCAGTACCTCACCACAAACACACGTTAGGAACCACCGCTGAGCACCAGGATGAGCAAAGTCCTAGAAATATGGGCCAGGGAACCAGTGGATCCTTTTCAGAGGTTCTTCATACCTGCCCAAACCTCTTTTACTCTCACACATCTTTCTGCCTCCTAGGACTGTCTCCTGCTCCTACTCCTCATTCCTTTGGTGTGTCTTTGCTCACAGCATCTTTGTGACACTGCAGCCAAGAGAGGGAAGGCTGGGAGCAGACAGCTTTTTGAACAAAAATTTGATGCTGAGTTTGGAAAAAAAAAAACATGGACAGAAAAACCCAGAAAAAAAAAAAAAAACAAACCAAAACCAAAGCTCATTTGTTTCCAAGGGTTGTTTTCTCTTTTTTTTTTTTTTTTTTGGAACAGATTTATGTGAATACTTAGGTGAGGTAGAAGAATTCATTTCAGAACATGACATTCAATTTTATTTAAAGAGCAACATTATCTGAAGTTTTAAACATGCAAGTGACAACACACATACAGGATCACTTGCTTAATCACAATCATGATGCTTGAAAGAGACAAAATCCATAAAATAGCATTTTAATAATGCGCTTTAATGCCAGAAAAAGTGGGAAAAGGAAGACATTTTGGAAGATCTGAAGTTGTAGAAGAGGCAGCTGTATTTAGGAAGCAGCTTGGAAATAAGGAGAAAGGTGGACCAAACAAAGAACCAACAAATAAACCATAAAATCTAAATTGGAAGAGAGAATTTTAACCAACTTCACAGATAAGAGGAGGAACATTTTAGTAATGAGGTAGAGCAAAAAAAAAGTAGACAAACTATAGTTTTTAATCAGGTTTGCTGACCAAGGTGATGATTCTGGAAGAACAGGTTAGGGATGATACAAAAATCAAGGCACAAACGCAAGTCTAAGCACCAGTATTTTTCATAAAATGTAAACAAAGGAACTTGTAAATGTGAAGCAACAAACACCTGCAAGGTTTCAGAGAAAAACTTCTGATTAAAGGAAACACTGAGACTTCCAGTAGCAACTGAGAACTTGGGGAAGTGTCAATCGACAAGGAAGGAGGGCAGGACAGCCACAAGAACATTCATGGCAGTTGTACCTTGTTTAATGCACAAGGCAATACAAGCAGACAAATAGAATTAAGAACATGAGGTAAAGAATTCAATTAGATGTAGTAGTACACAGGCCTGAGGGTAGTTTGACATCCTTTGGGCAAATATGAAGGAAAGAGGAGAGGTCAAAACCAGCAGCCTCTGGCATGAATGGAAAAGGCAGAGAGGAGTCATCCTAAGCAACTGGAATAAAAACAAAGCTGTCAGAAAACAGAGGGAAAAAAACTCCACAATCAAAAACAGAATGAAGAAAATATTCACTTGCAATAAAAGCTGCTGGGAAGTCAGGAGCAGAAATAAGCACCTTGTTTCTAGCTTCACATGTTTCTAGTAATTTGTGAGGGTTCTGGTTAGTTGGGAACCACACAGAAAGCCAACCAAGAATGCTTCAGAAAGCCAGAACAACTAGGGATGAATACAAGAACAGTCTTCATAAACCAGGGTTTAGAACATCCTGAAGAGACAAAGTACTGACAGGAGAAAGGGGGAAGAAAAAAAGGGAAAAACTGCAGAGCACAGGAACACAAACAAGAACAGCACAGGAGAGGAAACAAGAGCCTCTAAGAGAAGAATCTTTTCAGTGCCTGGTCTCAGTTCATAGTGGGAAGGGATTACAATAAAGCAATGTATAATAAGAAGCTGTAGATAGTATTTCATTTTTTTCTTTTCTTTTTTGCTCTTGATGAAACTGTTTTGCCTCAACAGCACTTTTTATTCTGAAGCACTGCTGTCCCAGGCTGAGCCAGGATTTGCAGCTCACTGGCTCAGCTCATCAGCTGTCCAAGCCCCCTGTCACCTGAAATGTTGACAGAAGCTTCAGGCTCCCCCAGAGGCAAAACCAACTGCTTTGTGTGTCCAGGAACTCCTGCTAAATGATTTCTGTGATTCACCCAAACACCAGACATCCCCAGAATGCTGCATTTGCAGCAGCAATCTACGTCACCCACAGAACAGTCACTCAATTTGAGAACTTATGACTCCTATATGCAATACAAGACCTGATATAAAGCAATTTCCCAACTTCATCCTAAACACACGGATCTGCTGCAAAGCACAAGGCAGTTGAGATGAATACAGGAATAGCAGCATGAATTCTAGTGTCCTTGGACAATGAAGCTAACAGACTAGATAATGTAACAGCTTCATTTACCCTGAAACTTCTCCACATGACTCTCTTGGAAATCAGTTTATACCTGCAGAACCCTGGCTTTAATAGTCTTTTTAAAATAAAACACTGATGAGTTGACTTTGACTTTTATATTTCAAAACATTTTCAGCCACACCTCCGAAGCTCAGTTCAACTGGAATTAGATGATGCATCATTCACATGGATAGGAAAGACCCATGAAGATTTCTGCTCCATGGGAATTGCTGGAGACACAGCACCTCTAGTTTCAATAGAGAGCTTGAAAGGCTCTTAGATACAGTACAAGTGTGCTCAGCACAAACACATCTGAGAAAAACCCTACACCTTTGCCAGCTTCACTATTACACTAAGTAGTATATGGATGAAATGTAACAGTACAATTTTCCATCTGCATCCACAGCATTCACAGATAAACCCCAAATATGGAGGCCCCTGGATCAGCTGCATCACCTGCTTGCTGGTGACACAGGGCCAAAGCACAGCACTACAAAGAGAAGCCTAAGCTTTGATATGGAAAACAAATTACAGTCCTATCATCACTCACATTAGATGAGCAGTTTTCAATTAAAAGGTTTTCTATCACACAGGGCAATAGCCATCAGCAGTATGTCACTCCACCTTTTTACAAACTGTTTCAAAATGACTGTCAGAATTATGTCTGGAAAAGAGGACACCCATGTAACAGCAGCAGATAAACTGTTGGTTTCATTAGCAATCTCCTCTTGAGATTTCTCAGAACATGCAAAAGAGCATTTCTGATTCATTGCAGGTGGAGATCTTATCTTAAGCTCCTTAAACATGTGCCACAAGTAGCTCCTATAACAGATTACACCAAAATTCTCTTCCAACCCTCTCCATTTAGCTTCTTTTTAAGGAGCAGTGGGATCTGTGCTTACCTCCCTCATATCACAGAAACAACTCCATTGCTGACCTTGTCCTGAAACCCCCAACAGGGATCTAAGGAAGCTGCTTTGGCATCAAGCTCAGGATGCTCTACTTACAATTATTTCCCCTACCTTGTTATGGCAATGGGAAACCAGCCACGGTACCATCAAACTCAATGACAACTTTAAATAGCAATGGGAGCTGCTGCAGCAAGTCATGCTATCAAACAAATACGCTGACCAAAGCTCAGCCAAGTCAATGTGCTAAATGGACAAGCAAGACATTCTCTCCTCGAATAAAAATCTGGTTTATGTGACGTGTGAACACCTGCTGATAATCCACTTTGGGCCGCCTTTTCCTCCGGGACTGGCTTCGTGCACGGGTGCCACCAGCACTGGCACCCTCTGTGTGGGCAGTCCTGCTGCCCACATCAGCTTCACCTCCGGCAACCAAACTGTCACCTGGCGTCTTCTTTTCTCCAGCTCTGCCCGAGTGTTTCTGCCTCTCACGCTCCTCTTCTGCTCTCCCTCGTCCTGATCCAGCTTTTGATCCCAGCGTCTGAGAGTCACTTGTCAGGGCCAGCTCCTCTGAGACAGTCTTTGAGTCAGCTCCCTTCTTCCCCGAGGAGTCCTGAAGTTTGAGTCTGTCAAACAGCTGTAAAAGGACATTTGTGTCTATGACCACATTCATAAAACAAGAGAGGCTGCTTGTTCCACACGTGGTATTTGTGTGTATATGATCCTAAATCAGAGCTCACAAGACACAATCAGTGAAGAATCTTCACCACCAATAAAGACAATGTTTTCTTACCCAAGTCAAACAGTGACACAAGGTGAATGGATCTCTTGCACGGTCATGAGTGTCTTTATGTGAGCATCAAGGAATTTAATTTGGAGAGCAACCCTGCTGTGTGGTAGCATTTAACTTTGGTCAAGAGCAACACAGAGACACCAAGTTGCTCCATGAGCTCATTTTCCCAGTGCTCTTGTAATGTTGTCAGTGTTAGAGACATTCTTGTGTCATGAATGCCTAAGATAAGGGGTCTCCATTAGCAAAGGGTGCACACTGAAAAAATGAGGGATCTTTTGTGTTCCCCAAAGCAAACTAAAAGTTGCCGTGTGGGTATTCTGGGAGGTGAGCAGATCACAAACAACAGAAAAATAATAAAAGCTACAGCAGCGGATCCAAAGCACTGCATGAACTCATTAATCTAAGAATACATGGTGCTGAAACTGGGAAAGAAACTGCTTTTGCTCTGGCAGCAGGCAAGCTTTTATGAAACACTGACAAATGAGAAGGATTCTTGGTTAGCCTGTCTCGTCCCAGCAACAGGATGGAAAGCCAATCCCTGTGAGAGTGGGCTAAAGGAACAATGACAACTTGATTATTTTTAACTAATCTTTAAAAAAGGAAGGGTGGGATCTATCAGAAAACGGATTTAAATGGCAGGAATTTGAAAGCAAACTCCTCACAATGAAACTGTTTAAATGTTTTTGTGATGCTTCTCTGATGTTCAAAAAGGCCCAGAGCTGTTGCCATACAACGGGCACAGCCCTGTCACTTTTTTTTCCCCTTCATTGTTCAGAAGTTCATTTATCATCTCTTCAGTTCTCAACTTGGTAAACAACTCTGTTTGCAGCTGGATCGTAGAGTGTGTCTTGCTCTGGAGCAAGAATCTTGGGCTCCACAGTACCCAGGCTAGAAGCTCAAGTGACCAAACAGCCATGTTGTTTCACTGGCTGCAGACACAGACTGTGGTTCCATGAACAGCTGTACCAGAGGGATGCTCTGCAACATTCCCTGGTAGGACAAACATGGACCTGATCAGTCACAGGTGCAAAAAGCACACAGAACAAATAAATCAAAAACCAGAGAGTGAGCTTCTAGAAGCTCAGCATATTGAACTAAGCAGTGGCAGCAACTATGCTCTGAATAATAGGGGCCCTAAAGTGGAACTTTAGTAGCACTGAACTATGGCCAAAGTACTTTCAAAAAGGTCAGAAAACATTTTGGGTTATTTTTTTTCCCTCAGTTCAAGTAATTTTATAGTCATCTGTAATAAAAGGAGGTAAAATATTTCAAATGTAAATATAGTTTTCCAATCAATGCTCCCCTCTTACTACTTTGAAAAAGGAGATACTAATTAAAAAAAGAAAACTGGAGATGGTCACCTACTCGGGTCAGTGTGAGCTGAGGTTCTGCATAGAAAGCTTTGCCCATTACTGGTTTCCTGTAAGTCTCATCCACGTCTGTCAGGGCCTGGAGAAGAGAAAAGAAACGGAAAGGTCAAAATTAAAAGAAGACATTAAGCAGCTTTGGACCAGCTCTGTGTCAAGGCATAATGAAATTATGTTCTATCTGAGAGAAAATCCATCTCTCCAAAGAACAAACTGTGCTTTGGAGCTGGTTTGTTAATCATCTAAATTGTACTGAGGTATAAAAGCAGCAGCAAAGCGTTAAATCCATTCTGCATTACTTGCATAACCTTTCTGAGCCTTGCCTGAGAAATCCTTCCCACCTTCCCATTTCCAAACTTTTCACAGCTCCAGGCTCGCAAACATTTAATTGCTGCTTTTCCATCCTCTGTCTTTAAGATGTTCATGGGGTAGAGCACAGGGAAAAGCTTTTGTCACTGACAGCCCAGTGATGTTAGTGAAAGAACACAATGAAGCAACAATCACTACAAAAAGATTGGGTTTTGCAGAGAAACCTTTGGAAGCTTCTGATATTCCTTATATTCCACAATCATGAATTCTTTGAAGATGTTGGGAACTCTTCAAAGCTTCTCTCTCATCTAAACCCTCTCTAAAACAGTTGGGCACCTCCCAGATGGACCAGCCCAACACCAAGCACCACTTACATCTGAAACCCAGCACTTGGTGCCAGAGCAAATTAGTTTGTGCACCACAATACCACATTAATCCTCTCGGAATGTCGTCCGCTTAAACCTGTTGCAAATTTCAAGTTTTCAATATAACAGTTATAAATCAAGAGCTGGAACAATAATTACCATATTCCAGAATTTGTCAAATGCAACCAGAAACCCTGTGCAGACTCCACGAAGCCCTTTGAAAGTGCGGATGTGAACATTGATTTTGACACCGTCTCGGACACAGCGATGAAGCTCCCCCAGAGGGCTGCCTTCATGGACTAAAACAGAAAGAGAACGTCACCAGTCTTCAACAAAATACAAAGAATCATAGAATAGAATCACAGAATGGTTTGAGCTGGAAGGGACCTGAAAGATCATCCAGTTTCAACTCTGCTGCTGTGGGCAGGGACACCTTCCACTATCCCAGGTTGCTCAGAGCTCCATCCCACCTGGCCTTGAACACTCCCAGGGATGGGGCAGCCACAGCTTCTCTGGGCAACCTGTGCCAGGGCCTCACCACTCTCACAGTAAATAATTTCTTACTAATATCTAATCTAACCCTACTGTCTTCCAGTTTTATGCCATTCCCCCTTGTTCTATCACTACATTATCTTGTAACTACATATACAGAGAGAGAGAGAGAGAAAAAAAAGTAATGTAGAAATCTACTCTATCTACAAATATGGCACATCTTGGCACGACACTTGTCTTCACAGCAAAAGGAATGAGGAGCCCCAGAGCACTGTAACACACTGCAGCTGCAATTACCAGACCACCAAAATTCTAATTATGGTGGGGACAGCCAAGACTTCATAAAACATGAAGGTTTTGCTTTACATAACCCACAGTCAAATCAGCCTTAGCTGAAAATCTTTTAGCTACATTTCAAATTCATGCTAAGTAATGCTAATTGTAAATAAAAGTGGTTCAGAGGGAACAGAAAGCTCATGGGGGCAGAGTTAGTTTCCCAGAAAAGACAAATACCTTGTTAAGGCTACCCTGGATTAATTATGATCTGTGAATAAAGGATTATATCAGATGTGTTCCTTTCCTTTATGAGAAGATTTCTGAAACAATGACTCAAAATCCTTCAACAAACCAAACCAGACCACTTTAAATTGATGAAAATGTGTTGTTTCACTTCAAATTTCAGCAGCCAACTGAACATCCTTCAAAGACATACAAATCTTCAGCAGAGGAATACGACTCTAAGCAGCAGCCAGCAATGAAACCACGTTAAACCACAGGACAATAATGCTTTTAGCCAGGGCAAAACTGAAGGAATTCAGTACAACACATGCCTTACTTTGCACACATGAGTCTCATCCACACACTAGAAATCTTTGCAATTGTAAGTCATCTAGAGGGTAAATCTTATTTACTTTACCACTTCCACCCACGTCATGATGAAGCCATCACAGTGATAAATCACAGGTACCCATTTGCCTGTGCAAACACAGCCTCAGGGTTGCTGTAAAATTCCTACTGAGAGTCAGGGAAAAGACTTGGTCTAAAATCTCACACAGTTCTTCATATCAATAAAATATGTGAGTCAGAGATGATCTCTCACCTTGTGCTTTAGGGACCATGTATTCAAGGTTTGATTTGCACAGTGGAAAATGCTTCCTGTGAGTGTAAAGTTACTGTATGACAGCTGATCTGCAGGATTGGGCTGCAGGGTAATTCACAGCCACAGCAGGGAAATCTAAAGCAGTTACTTCTGAATTAACCTAATCACGTTTATTTTTTGAGATCCATTGTCCTCTTGCCAGCCCCCTCCAGCAGGATAACTGGAGGAAACTGGTTTCACACAGAGCATAAGCTACCTCAGCACCTCCCAGCTTTGCTTATGAGGGTCTTTTTGTGAGTCTCTGTGCCTCCTTCAGCTGAACTGATGATAAACTTATGTTCTGAATTCACAGATCCACCCTGGGAACCAGAGATGACACCACCACAACATCAGATTGATGCTTTTAATCAGTTAACAGCACTTTTTCTAACCAACCCTGAGAATTTGAATAGTAATTTAAAATCTAGATTTTTTTTAAATTTTAAATTCCAATATTCCCTTTACATATAAATTTTATCTACACCTTTTTATAAAAATCCAAATACAATCCTTATTTCCAACTATACCTCTGCCTGTCAGCACCCTGGAAAACACTATACAGCTCCACCAAATCTAGACTGCCCACTTTTCCTTGCTGTGTAAGGTTCTGGCTTCTCCATGGCAAACCTCCAGCTTCACCTGATCAAAAGGGCAGAACACATCATCCAAAACCCTCTAAACAACCTGACATCTCAGAAAAAATATGCAATGCATATTTGTCCTTCCAACGCAAGGAATTTATTTTTGGAACACACCTCTTCTGCAAGCACCAGGGGCTGTAATGACCAGGCTCTGCATGCAGCTAAATCTGCCTGTGCATCATCCTGATGCTCTTAAGTACTAGGATTAATAACATATAGCAATGAATACATTGTGTTTTGGTGCCTAAGCAAGAAAAAAGTTCTGCTTTGGGTAGAACTGAACATTTTGGGCTTTGTCTTTTTATGTAAAGAACATTAAGGTGATGGTGGTGAAGAGATACTGATTCAAAAAAATCCCCAGTATTGTTAATTAAGAGCACTAAAGTTACATCTCATTTGATAGCAATGCCATTTGATCCTCAGCGTAGGTGCAGAAGTGGAACCCCTTAATGTTTAGGGGGTATTACCACAACTGCATATATATACATTTATACCGAGAAACTTGTACATCATCACAACTGATGAATTTAGCAACATCAGAGCTGCCTCCCACCTCAATCCACTGTTCTGCCATCATGTTAACAGAAACGCCAGTGCTGTATTTATGCCCACAGGATGTAGGGTTAGTAACCAAGTAACAGCAGCGTGTTACAGACTCGCCCTGTGGTTATGATTTAACTATAAGCTGCACGGACTCAAATCTGATTCCTCGTCTAAAATAGTACTTTTGAAAGTCCAGCAGTTTCTCATCCCTTTTCCCCTTAAAACCAAGGGGATGTATGTCACTAACCAAATAACAGACATCACCACACCAAGTCAGACAGGACATGACCACAACGAAGTCAGTGTCATCTCTGCGGGAGCAGCTCTGAGAAATGCTGTTCCTCATTCCTGCACACCATTTCACAGAATCACAGAGTGGTTTGGGTTGGAAAGGAACCTTGAAGATCATCTCGTTCCAACCCCTATGCTGTGGGCAGGGACACCTTCCACTAGACCAGGTTGCTCAGAGTCCCGTCCAACCCGGCCTTGAACGTCTCCAGGGATGGGACAGCCACAACTTCCCTGGGCAACCTGTGCCAGTGTCTCACCACCCAAGTACCATTTCCGACCGAACGCCATCATCCCCCCGCTGTCACCCACCCACGCCCCGCTGCCACCCCACCGCTTCCTCAGCCACGCTCTCTTCTCACCTCCAAACTCCCAAAACTTCCATCCCAACTGCACTCCCGGGCGCAGCCGCATCTCCCGACCCACCTCAGCCCCTTCTCGCCATCCCCCCGGGACCCCACCGTGCCGCTTCCCTCCCGCCGACCCAGCCCCGGGCTCCAGCGCCCGCCCCAGCGCCGCTTCAGCCCCCCGGGGCCGCGCTCCCTTACGCGGCATCCTGGTGAGGACATTTGCGACGGTGCCCGCCGCCGCGCGCGCCGCCGCCGCTCTCCCTTCGGCCGCGTCCTGCTCGAGGGCCCGCGTTCACCATGAGGCTGCGGAGCCGCTGGTATTGCGCTCGCCGGAGTGTCGGCGGCGGGGCGGGCCCCGGCGGGCCCGCGGGCGGCGGCGCGGCGCGGCTGGGCGGGGGCGGCGCGCGGCCGCGCGATGGCGGCGCAGCGCCATGGAAGCCTCTCGTACTTCGGCAGAGGTTGTTGAAAGCAGGGCGCCCCGGCGGGGTATAGGGCAGCGCGTGACGCGGCGAGTATGAGCGCCAGCAGCGGATCGAAGCGCTGGAGCTCACGCAGGCGGCCGGGGCTCGGCGCGGGCGGCGCCCGGGGGGACCCCGCGGCTCACGCGCCCGCCTCGTTCCTGCCTCCATGCGGCCGGGCTGCGGGGGGCGGCAACGCCCGCGGCCGCCACTAGAGGCCTGCTGCCGCGCAAGGCCCCTTGAGGGCGGAGCATGGGCCCGCGGGGCGAGGCAGCCGGCGGCGGGCGGGCGGGGAGCTGTGGGAGCCCTGCAGGTGCCACAGGTTCGTTCGTTCGGCACCCTTCGTGTCGGGGCTGTAGCCGCACAGAACCATACAGCTTAGGCTATGTAGCTTCTTTGTGTAGCTTAAGTTACGTAAAAGGTCGGGGGGTTCTCGACAGACGGGAACTTCTCAAAAGATTGAGGGGTATCTTTCCTCTGGGAAGTGGAAGTGGTAAAAGGAACACGAAGCTTGCAAACTAGTCAAAACTGTCCTCGTGGTCGCACGCTGTTCCAAAGGGGCATGGACACTGATTCTAGAGGGCTTGACGATGCGCCAAAAGTAAGAGTTCCAGAAAAGGGCAGTGTGAAGAAGACTAAAGAGAGACCACCCTAAAGGACTGCTGACTCCAAACGGGAGGCGGGTCAAGGGGAGGAGCAGTTCTGGGGGTTAGTTTTGGCAATAGTGCAAGAAAGACTGGAGAGGGTCCAGCAGAGGCCATGAAGCTAGTGAGGGGTCTGGAGCATCTCTCTGATGAGGAGAGACTGCAGGAGCTGGGCCTAGAGAAGACTGAGGGGGGAGTCTCTCAGGGTGTCAAGGGAAAGGTGCCAGGCTCTTTCTTGGTGGTGCCCAGCGACAGCACGAGGAGCAATGGCCATAAACAAAAACACAAGAAGTTTCACCTCAATATAAGGAAGAACTTCTTTACACTGAGGGTGGCAGAGCACTGGAACAGCTGCCCAGGGAGGGCATGGAGTCTCTCTCTTTGGAGACATTCCAAACCCACCTAGATGCATTCATTCTTGTGTCACCTGCTCCAGATGACCCTGCCTTGGCAGTGGGAGTGGACTGGATGATCTCCAGAGGTCGCTTCCAAGCCTAATAATTCTGTGATTCTGTCATCTTCACTCAGACCCCCTGGTTCAACCTTTCCCTTGCAGCCCACCCTGGAGCCCCTCAGCGGTTCTGGGGGTGCTCCCTCGACTGGGCACAAAATCCCATCTGCCTCAGGCAATGAAATGGCACTTGGGCAACGTGTGGTTGCAATATAGTCTGCATTTTAACCCATCAAAGGATCTACAGCACAGAACCACTTCTCTGAGGAACGGCGAGGAAACACCATTAATGCTGCAGAGAGGTTTTACTGTAATGATTCACCACCTCCATTAATGTTTCATAATGGGTTCCTGTACATTTAACGCCGCCTGTTACAGCAATACATCAGTCACAGGTCGTTCCCCAACTGCACAGAAAACCCCTCTTTCTTCACTGGGTCACAGTACAGGACTTCTAAGCTACAGCAATACATGGAAGAACAGGCACAGGTTGATGTGTGTGTCACCAACACCGGGCTGCTGCTTGAAACTTGGGAGTATTTATTTTCCCCTACAGCTATTAAGTCATATATATGACTTTATGCATGAGGATGCCACAGAGAGTTTCTTTCTCTAGAATTTATATTAATACAAATTAAAGGCCATGGTTGTACAGACAATCCATATCTCGGTTCCAAAGTCTGCATTTGTTGGCTTATTCCATATTATTGTAAGGATGAGTTAATTAGAAAACACTCTGAGGATACGAATTTATACAGACCCATTTTTTATACACACATACAAGGTACATACATAGATATGTTGTATAATGCATAAGGTGGCCATAATATTTAAGATAAAAAACCTACATAATACTTTCTAAGCATGAATCATAGCTGCCAAATTATTTTTTTTCATCTTTAGTCTGAGTAAATCCAAAGTGTTACCAGTTCTGGAACAGCTGCTTTGTATGTAATGTCCAAAGTCAGGCACCAGACAGTAACAAATGGCATTTCAAAGTCAAGTAAGTTACATTTGTGTTACAAGACAAAAAACCAGCAGACAGATAAAAAGTTCTTGGGGTAAATGACTGGTAGAACGATTCATTCAAAATCTTTATCTCACACTCACTCACATCCTCTTCCTAGGAATTTTGTGGCCTGTTCTACAAACTAAAAGCAAAATACATTCTCTCAGTGCATGTTCTTAACTGCTCAGTATTAGCACAGAGCAGCAGAAGGGGAAGCCCTGTGCTATTATAAACACACAGGCTCATTGTTTAATCTCAGGAAGAAGCTACAAAGTTTACATCAGTACCTGGCTCATGTTTTTTAAAAAAAAAAAACACCAAAAGGCACATTGCCTTAAATGTGCAAGTTCTTCCTGCAGGAAGGGGAAACAGAGTAGATTGATAAGTGAATTCATGGGAAATGAACTCTGTACTGAATGACCTTCGCAATCACATTTGATCCTTTCTTTCCATTTTTATGGCCAGTCCCAACTGCTGACTATCTCTCCCTTAGTAATAACTGGCTCAGTTACTGTTCTAGCACCATGGTTTTGAAACCAGCATGGTTAGAAGTAGTAATAGCCTTATAAATACCTATTATGTCATTATAGCTGTGTTTCTACACTGAAATAGGTTATTTCTCTCAAATTCCAAGCCCCTATCCATTAGCAGATTTTTTTCTACTCTGAGAGATTGCATGATTTAACTATTTTGACAAAGGGTCTTAACTGATAGTTAAACCAGAACAAACCTGTGCATTAACCAGACAACACACATTCCTCTCTTCCATCTAACATGGATTGTCAGCACTGCTGTGTCTGTGTCATTCCCAGGAAAATCAGAAAACAGTACAAGTTGATATTGGCTCCCTCTTTGCAGGCACCAGGAATGTTCCCCTGTGTTGCTACTGCCACTCCTGCCCAGTAGGAGACAGGTGACTTCCCAGGCCATGGAAAGTGAGAAAACTCTATCCCTGTCCTAAGAGAATTCCAGTCTGTACAGTATCTTTATTAACCTCACTTTTTGGAACTTCCACCACTTACTAGTAAAAATCCCAGGAATGAGGAAGGCCACATGATAAACCATACCAGAGAAGGTATTATTATTATTTTTAATTTTTACAAGTATAAAAATCCTGTACATTTGACAAAAACTTTTAAGATCTGTCAGGAAACTGCTGAGCCGCTCCATTTCCTTTCAGTAAGAATCAGACATTAGGCAGTTGAATGGTGTGTCACTCATCTGACCAAACACACTGGCCTTGAATTGAAATACTATATGCCAATTGAGTATTCTGGTCCAACTCAGTTGAAACAAAAATAAAATTAATAATTTTCTGTTCAAATATGCAAGCTTTTTTATGGTTCAGCAGTTCAGTAAAATACCTCACACATTAAATGGTACAGAAATGCAGGAAATTTCTATACACTTTTTCTACAAATACACATGTACAAGATACACATGTACAAGGAAGGAGCAGTCTTAACTTATGACAAGTTCTTAACATTCAAAATATAATATGATTTTAGCTCTCCATATGGGCATATCCTTGTATGTCAGACAACACACCAGTGTCTTCTTTTTAGGCAACAACAGTAATAAAACCAATGGAGCTGCTGAAGAGGGTTCCAGGTTAAACTCTGCCAGCCACCATCCGTATTACTCAGTAGCCAACAACCCAAGCAGAGCAAAATGTAAACTACCAATTTACTTGTCAGAGGTATCAATGATCCTCAGCCAGAATCTCAGGATATTCCTCCCAGAACTGGTCCCCAATGATATCACAGTGCAGAGGAACAACTTTAGTCTTAGTCCGGGTCACTTCCACTTCCTTTTCTTCTGCTTCCTTTGGCAGCTTTATTTTCTTCGTGATGATTTCATTAACCTGAAAATACAGCTGACACATTAGCAGACATATAAGACTCCAGAGGGGATTCACAAATGGACAAGAAACAAAGGCACAACAAAAACAACTATCAACCCTTTATCATACCAGAGTCTGAACATAGCATCTTTTGAAACAGAGTCTGTTCTCAATTCAAAGACTTAATAGTGAGCAGTTGAAGCTGCCCATCATCATCACATGGCCTAAAGAAATTACCTGCAAATTCACATTACTAAGGATTCAAGTATCCTTGAATGAAGCACAATATGTACTTTGGAGCTATATAAAGCAAAGAGGAAACCTTGATAATGTCTACAATTACCAAGGAAAAATATGTCTAAGGAACAAGTGGACTGTATTTCCAGGTGGGAGCATCTGTCTACTCTAGTTAGTTCAAATTGTTAGCCAAAATTTAAATAAAAAAGGATTACAGTTTTTTTAAGTATAGAAGACAAAAGGCTGAGCAAGTTATGGAGAACTCTTAGTATAGACAGATGGAACACTATTTCTACATAAGGTCTCCTAGCACAGAAGGACACTAAGGCCATAAACATTTATGATTTTCTGGGGTTTCATCTCATAAAAAAACCACAGGACAGGAATTTTTTCCACTAATTCTGGATTATCCTAGAATGATG